ATGGGCACAGGCGAGGTAGTGGGGATGTTTCTGAATTCCTAAAGCTATAGTGCCACTGAGTATCCATCCGTCTATGTGTGTGCGTTTACTCTGATAAATACAAAAAGGTTTTAAGGGCTGGAGAAGGGAGGATGCAAGTGCTTTTGTCAGGGATAGGAGGCAAAGTTCTCACTAAGTGAACAGATGAAGGGGAGAACCACCCTGTACTTTAGGGTCAGGCTTCAGCCTAAACCAGATGTCAACTGGGCTTACCGTCGTCAACTCTGTTTTGAATTTTAAAGGACAAGAAAGCGTGTATCAAAATAAAATGCTTGAAGATTGTGTCTAAAAAGCAGGGTGAAGTCACAGTCTTTACGATGTGTTTAATACCCAGAAACCCCCTTGTCCACACAGCCCACCGCGAGTGCAGTCCGGGCACAGCGTTAGGGTGCACGTGTGTGTAGGGCACACTTGCAGCCAGCAGCTCGTGGGTCGCTTTTCAGTGGCAGACGGCTTCTTCTCTTCACTTTTCAAAGACCCTTCATGAAGACAGCATTCTGATGCAGTTCTACGTCGTGGGGGCCCTCATGATGGTTCGTCACTGGGTGTGTACAGCGAAGACTCTCCTTTTGGGTGGGAGGGCCTATGGCACTTCCAGATTAGGGGAACCCTTCTTTCTCAAACTTCCCGGTGCTCCTCAGCCTCCACCATCACAGCCCAGCACATGCCTTCAGCACTGTGCACTGGCCACCTTAGAGAAGTCCGCAGAGCGAACGTCAGCTGTGCACTGTCTGCTAGTCACACTGTGTGGCCCCCCCACCCCGTGTTGGCCAACAACCGAGCTTCTCCTCGCCGTGCCTACTCCCCGAGCAGGCCATTTTCATCTCAGTTGAGAACAGACGAGGAGGAACAAAGCAAAACACCCCATGGGAGTCTTGCCTGGCACAGAAGTGGGCTAGGCTCGAGCCCTAGAACAGCCCTGCAGAGGGAGGGGTGGGGCAGAGCAGCAGGGAGGCAGGCACTGGGGCTGCCAGGAGATGGCAGGAAGACAGGGAAGTGGCCGTCGCTGGGCCGTTCTCTCGTGAGTTCTTTTATAGCCAGAATTGCACGAGGGCAGGTTTTAGGAGGCTTTTCCGATGAGGCAGGAGAGACTCGTCGTCCTCCCTGCAGTGTGAGCCAGCCCCTGCCAGAGCTGGGTGTCTTCCCCCACATTCATGTCAGGGAGGATAGAGCCGAAGGCCTTTCATGATCTCCTGAGCTCTCAGAAATTGCCCAGAAACGTGTCTCTTTCTGTCTGAAAACTGAAAAGTCTCTTCCCAAGCACTGAGATCTGGTTCACCTCCCTGGGACCCTCCTGCCTCCAATGAGAAGTCCCTCAAAGATGCTAAAAGGTCTCATGCAACCCGGCCTTTGGCCCCATGCCACCAGGTGCCTTGTGCACGATGAGCACACAGCGTATGCAGCAGTGAATTGAGATGCTGCCGGGGTTGGAATATGGCTTGTCCCTCCGAACGCATGGGCTGGAACTGGGGCCTCAAACTGGGACTGGGCCGTGACGGGATCAGTGCCTTTCTCGCAGGACTGGGTGAACTCTCACAGGAATGGGGCTGGTCATTATCGCAACAACAGGTGGTCCCAAAGCGCAGCCCCTGTGCTCTGTCTTCTGCACACGCCCATCTCCCTCTGCTCGCGAGTGTGGCTGAGCCCCTGTGGTCCCTTGCTGGCCTTGTGCTCCCAGAACAGCTTCTGGAACTGTGAGCCAGAACAAGCTAATCCCCTTCATTCATCACCCAGTCTCAGATGTTCCACTGCAGCAAGAGGGTGGGCCAGGACAGATGCCGTCCTGGGGAGACGTCTTTGAATGTCTGAAGGTCATCACTGCCCAGGGTGAGGATCAGGAATCAGCCAGCCTTCTTCTCTGCAGCCGAGATCCTAAGGTCCAGGTAAAGGGAGTTTTCCATAGTTTAAATGAACTATATCTAGTAATAAGTCTTCTTCCCAATTAAGTCTAGCTAGAGATCACTTTAAATCAAAACTAGAATTTCAGAGGCATTTGTGATATAGGAAGTATCACAGGCCAATAGCCTGATCTTAGGCGACTGACAGCATTATTTCTACAGCGTGCTCCTATTTTCCTAAACACGAGATCAGCTTCCTCTGTCTGGAATGCCGGGCCCTGTCCCCTGAAGCACCTCGTGGGCATCTGCTTTATCTGCTGAAAAGCAGCAGGGGTGTCGCTCCTCCTTCGCTGCCTACCTCCAGGGAAGCCAGCTAGTCACTGCCCCCTCCTCTGGGCACAGGAACATATTCCAGTGTTGTACTTGAGTCACCAAGTAGAAGTTTATTGTTTATCTTGTAAAATCTTTAAGGGTAGGGATTATGTCATGTTTGTTTATTTTTAGCTCCCTTTGAGCTATTTATATCTTAAGGTAACAAGTGTTGGTTGGGTTGAATTGAATGGTAATAGAGAATGTTTTCTTATGGATCAAATTACATGAAGTTTTGCAAATACATAAAATGACTTCATGTTTAGTTATACTTTTAACAGACTGCTTTTATTAAAAAGATAAAATCACACAGACTTGGTTGGCCTGGAATGTGGGGGACATGGGGCCCTATGCATCCGAGCTGCCTGGTACCAGCAGTTTGGATTCATCTAACTTGACAGTGAGGTACTCATTGGCATTTGAAAGAAATGTCAAATTAATTTGAGTTGCCACTGGGGAGTGATTCACTTCCAACAGGTGTGTTCTAAAGCCGGTACTATTTTCCTAGCTGATTTGGTATTACACCTTCTAGTAATCAGTTTAATACCTTGGGGTGTTATCTGGCCCTTTATCACACAAACACTGAAGAACTCCCTTTTTTTAAAAAAAATATGTTTGTTTTATTTGTTCTTTTTAGTTACACATGACAGTAGGGTATGTTCTGACATATTTATACAAACATGGATGATAGCTTATTCTAATTAGGATCCCAGTCTTGTGGTTACACATGATGTGGAGTTTCACTGGTTGTGTGTTCACATATGAACATAAGAAAGTGATGCCCCATTCATTCTACTGATTCTTCTATTCCTATTCCTCCCTCCCTTCCCTGCATTCCCCTTTTTCTAATCCAATGAACTTCTATTCCCCTCCCCCTTGTTGTGTGTTAGCCTCTACATATCAGAGAGAAGATTCAACCTTTGGTTTTGGGGGATTGGCTTATTTCACTTAGCATGATAGTCTCCAAAACCATCCATTTATTGGCAAATGTCATAAAGTCATTCTTTATGGCTGAGTAATACTCCATTGGGTGTGTATACCACATTTTCTTTATCCATTCATCTTTGTGGCTCAGCGGTAGAGTGCTTGCCTAGCACTGGCGGGGCCGGGGCTCGATTCTCAGCACCACATAAAAATAAAGGCATTATGTTGGGTCCATCTACCTAAAAAAATAAATAAAATAAAAATAAAAACTTTTTTTTAAAAGGGCACCTAGGCTAGTTCCATTGGTTAGCTGTTATGAACTGAGCTGCTATAAACTCTGATGTGGCTGCATCACTGTAGTGTGCTGATTTTAACTCCTTTGGATATAAACCAAGGAGTGGGATAACCAGGTCAAATGGTGGTTCTGTTTTTAGTTTTCTGAGGAACCTCCACACTGCTTTCCAGAGTGATTGCACCAGTTTTCAGTCCCACCACCAGAGTGTACCCTTTCCTCCACACTCACCACCATTTATTGTTACTTGTATTCTTGATTGTTGCCATTCTGACCCGAGTAAGATGGAATCTCAGTGTGGTTTTAATTTGATTTCTCTAATTGCTAGAGATGTTGAACATTTTTTCATGTATTTTTGACCATTCATATTTCTTCTTCTGTGAAGTGCTTATTCAGTTCTTTGCTCATTTATTGATTGGGTTATTTTTTTTTAAGTGAACAACTCACTTTAAAAATGCCATATTAAAAAACACTTATTATAAGTACTTGCTAATTGAAGAACTAGATTCTCCTAGAGTAGAACTTAGATTTTTAGAGAAACTAAGAGGACATTAGGAGGGAATTGAAAGAGCTAAAGTGATAGGGTTAACCGGGCGGGCGAGGGCGGCGAGCGCCGCGGGTGGGACTGGGTCTTCCTAAGCTGGAGAAAGGCCTGCCGTCTCCCAGCAGCTCATCCACTCATGTGCTTGACCCACGTGAAGCTCCCCAGACACCGCACAGGTTATAGCACTCAGCAGGACCCAAAAAAGTGCTGGAAAGGATGTCCCAGAAGCTTGAAGAAGTCAAGTTCCTTTAGGAACTCAGCTTAATGCTGTCAGGTTGCCGAGAAATAAAACAGTGACTACAGTGTCTCAGAAGGAAGGCTGACCTAAAGTCTAACGCAGTCTCCTGTGAACTGGACTCGCTCTGGCATTGTCTCCCTGATTGTGCATACCACAAACAACCCAATCTACCAAGAAGCCCAGGTTTATTGAGATGTGTGTGCACCACTTCAAATCTGAGCGTGTGTTCATGAGCTGTACTCTACAAAAACAGGCAATGAGGTGGTGGCTTCCAAGTTCCATCCTTTGTTGTTGAGGACCTCCGAGGCAGAGAACTGGCCGTGGGCTTTGTCTGGACCGGGAAGCCATCAGCATAGAAACAGGAGTGACTTTGTGCCTCGTAGGTCTGCGGGGCAACAAGCAAGCCTTATTGCATGAGCTGTGGCTTCTGTTGCACCAGGCTTGTAGGCTCAGAGAGAGGAGTCCCCGCACAGAAGACACAGAACACCAGAGGAGTACTCAAGATGCCCGCCGCACAGACTCCAGGTCCAGGGACAGGTTCTCACCTTGGGCAGGGTGATTGGAGGAGGGGTGGTGAGGGGCCACACCATAAGGGTCACACAGGGAGGAGGGAATGTGCATGGTGTTGGAGAACAATTTATAGACCTGTTTTGCCAATGTGGAGGGTTAGCACAGAACAGAGGTTCTAGTGCCTGATTTGGGGCTGTAGAATATGTGTTGTTTGACATCAAAATCTGGATTCCTGATATTCTCTTAAAGATCCGAAAGCCTGGAGCAAAGGGCCTGCACGCGTGGTAGGCAAGACTCCCTTGCAGCTGACTCACCTTAGACCTGAGCACCCTCTTGGACGCAGGCTCCACCTGGCCCATTTGCTGCTTCACTTCCTCTGAAGGTATTTGGGTTAGTCAGCTTTGGCAAGGTTCTGCCGTGGGAACAAGGACTCTCCAAATCCTAGAGGCTTGTGACTAAGTACAAAGTTTTATTTCTCTCTTATTGCATGTCTTCTGCAGTCAGTTGTGGCTACGTGCCCTGAGTCCTCCGGGTTCTGGGATCCCGGCAGAAGGAGCAGCCCCTACCCGGGATAGAGACTCCTGGTGGGGCAGGGCGAGTGTGGGCAATGGCAGGAAAGAGAGTGGTCTTAAACCTTTGCTCAAGGCAGCATAGGTCGCTTCCTCGAGAATACGTGTGGCCAAAGCTGGTCACGTGCAGACCCTGGGTGCCAATGATGGGAAAATAGAACCCTACCTACTCCAGGAAGGTTCAGGTGAGTGGGGAACGCAGGACACAGTCTTCAACCTCATTTGAAGGTGTTCCTTTCTGACCAGAACACCTTCTGGAGAGAGGCAGGAGTGAGAACTGGAGGGTCCAGAGTGAAAACTCAAAGCTCATGGCCGACAGCGGTTTCCACGGGCACAGACAAACAAAGAAAAAGTCCCAAGCAAGGCCTGCGTCCAGGAGCAGGGCTGTCACATTGTCCTCCAAGAAGCATGCAGCTGAACTGACAGAAGCTGACAGATGAGGCGGGAAGGGTTAGACCCTTCTGCTCCTGTCTTCATTTACAGCAAAGGACAGAACACTTTATCACCTTGGAAACAACTCACAAAGGCAGAGTGTGCAAAGCTGTAGGAAACCCAGTGCACTCTCGGTGACCGGGGCTAAGTGGTGGGGTGGGGCATCCCGCCACTGGGCTGCGTCCTGGGTATTGTGTAGGGAGGCAGGTCGCTCCAGCAGGACGAGAGCCGCCTGGCCTTTGATGGCCCCGCTGACTATACAATATGTTCCTCCTTGTCCTTTGTATTCACAGAACACATCGCCCACCAAGGAGAGCGTGGCCACCGTGTCCGACCCTCCAACCTACACCGGGGACAGGCGTTCTCTGCCGCAAGCCCTTCTTTACTCTCTGCCGCCAGTGGTCGCACAGTGAGAGCTGCTGGAGTGAGCCGGAACAGCCTAGCCTGTTTTGCTCTCATTCCCAAGGTCATTTTGTGTCACTGCTTGCGGATGTGTAGTTCCTGATCCTCTTCTGCCTTTTTATACTGATTTGCATACAAACCACAGGAGAAACTTCTTTGAGAAGCTGACTGGGCTTCTGCCATGGGCTGGAGATTCTAGATTCACTAAAAGACTGGCCACGATCATGCTGCGCCAGCCTGAAGGCCGGAGGTGATTTCTCAGGTCGTGTCCACACCCCACTGGCACTGCCCAAACGGTTGTTCGCCTTTATGATAGTGTGTTGAGCTCCTTAGAGGGCCCAGAGATGAGTGAGCCAGGTGACCGCAGGCCGCTGAGGATGGCCAGCCTGTCTCTCCTGTCCGTGCTGTACTCCCACACCTGATGCCTTTCCTAATGACTGTTCCTGAATTTTATTTACATTTTACTGTAGAAAATATTTAATTTTGTGCCAGATTAAACTTTACTGAGCTCAAAACTTCATAGTCAATTCCAGTGTCTTTGAATACTAAACTTCAGAGCACTAACCTGTGTCCCTGTGCAACGTGGTTTAATGGCAATGACAACGGGTTGAAGGAAACCTGAGTTTTGCTTATGTGACCATAGACAAAGCATTTATTCATTAGTAAGGAGGACAGCAATAGCAGGCATTTGACAGATGTACCATTAGTCCCAGCTCCCTTGTCATGGCAGACATGACTAATCAACCATAGCCCCGATTCTTACTGACTCTGGAATAATCCTCAGAGTTCTCTTCAGTACAGAATTACAATCTGAGAGTTGGCACTGCACTTGGAACCTGCCATGAGCCTAGGTATAGGCATACAGAGAGAAGGTGTGAAGGTGTGTTGCAAGCTATTCTACATTGCACTAGTTTACTACTATTGTGTTAGCTGGTGTTGCCATCACAGGAATCTGCAGAGTGTGTTCAGACTCCAAGGGTGCAGATGGTGACTTACACCCTGCCAAGACCACCTGGGACTGTTACTCTAACAGTATGTGTAAAGAGATTTGGCTCCTGGTATTTTTAAGTAAGCATGTTCTATGAAAGCAGCTTCAAAATCCAGGCTACAGACTACCTTTGATAGCCTGGGAGGCTCTGCAGGGACACATATTGCCTGGACTTGAAGCCTAGGCTACACCACCACTGTGTGAATGTCGGCACGTCACTCAACCTTTCTGAGCCTTAGTGTCAATGTCTATGAGGAGGACTGTATAACCAACCTTCTCTTAGGGTTTTTAAAATTTTTAAATGTGTAAAATATAAAGCAAAACCCCTGAGAGATAAGCTGTGCTCTATAAAAGTTAGTTTCTGTAGTTGAAAAAGTAGTTTATGATGAGCACTCCAAGGCTTTTGATTTACTTTCTTTTTTTATTAAAAGATTTGTAGGGGCTGAGGCTGTAGCTCAGTGGTAGAGCTCTTGCCTAGTATGTATGAGGCACTGGGTTCGATTCTCAGCACCGCATACAAATAAATAAATTAAATAAAGGTCCAGTAATATCTAAAAACAATAAAAAAGAACGTTTTATAAACCTTAATGGTCAGAAAACACTCTCGGTCAGGTTTGTTTTGTTTTGTTTAGTGCAGAAGCTAAGACTCTGCCCTTTCTCAAGCTGCCATCTTCTTTCTAACCAAAGCAAGCGCTGAGTCTGAGCCCTCCCTCCGTCATGTTTGCCTCCTTTGCCAGCTTTTTTTTTTTTTCAGTGCTGGGATTGAACCTAGGGCCTGGCACATGCTAGGCAAGCACTCTACCACTGAGCTACGTTCCCCTCTGTGATTTCTTATAACAATTACAAATGTTCAAAAGGTGCTAATGCTGTGTAGATGGTATCTAATGAGGACAAATGCTGTGACTCAAAAGAACATACTTCTTGCTCTGTGCCAGAATCTGAATTGTGATGATGCATGCACTGTGCTGGGTCAGGAAGATGACATTTTTGCAAAGCTGGCTGGGAATGTATATGGGACACCTCTCTGAGTGTCAGGGCTCTGAGCAGCTCAGAAAACTTCTGATGCTCAATGCAAATACTTCTATTTCTATACCAAAGATTAGAATTTCTTTGGAAGCTATTAACTTGAGCAGCTTCCACCCCATCACTATTCTTCATTTATCTGCTTCCTCTATGCCAAGTTTATCATCATTGATGGTTTCTGATTTATGATGACTTATGAGTTTTCAACTTTATGATGCTACAACAGTTGTACACATTCAGTACAAAACACACCTTGAATTTTGAGTTTTGATCTTTCCTCTGGCTAGTGATAAGTGGCAGGATATTCTCTGGACGCTGGGCAGTGGCAGCAAACTGCAGCTCACAGCCAGCCACATGATCTCCCTGTGTCTCAGTTCCAGCCCAACTCAGTCATGGTCACTGGCAGTATAGCCAGCCCAGGGTCCCATCCAATGAGCTATTCCAGAAACCTAGAGGAAGCCAGATCCATCAGCACACTTGGTAATGGGTCCATAGTCAGTGAACATCACGGGGACCATTATCTCAGCACCTGCCCCACAGATCAAACTCTTAGAGATAGAACAATCCCCTCAGGCACAAGATAGCACCTGTACCCCTAGAGACCCTGGGAATAGGCCTGCCAACTATGATCTGCTGTCACCACATGACCCGGATCAAACCCCACTCAATTGTGATCCCATGGGTGAGTCCATTAGCCCAGAGACTAAAGGGAAAGCTGTACTTGCAGAAAACAATCTTTAAAGACTGAGAGAAGGGCATGCTCCTTCAAATGCACAGAAACCAATGCAAGGCTACATGCATAATGAAAAATCACACAACCATGAGACCACCAAAAGAAACTCAAAACTCCAATCACCAACTACAAAGAAATGGAAATAAACAAATTACCCAAAAAAGAACTCAAAATAAATATCTTAAAGAAGCTCAATGAAATGCAAGATGACACAGATAAATAACTAAATAAAATCACGAAAACAATGAATTAACAAAATTAGAAGTTTAATAAAAAAGATGTTATCATAAAAAGGAATAATACAGAAACCCTGAAGCTGGAGAATATAATGGCAGAATGCTGAGAGCCATTGCCAAGTAGAAATGACACATGGCAATTTCTTTGTCAGCCTACCCAGTGTTGCTTAGAGGAAGGACTCTCCATATTGACCCAGGTCATTTGCAGTGACATTGCATGTAAGGTGACCTTGCTCAAGGACCAGGGCGGATCCAGGTTTAGGGTGTACCCTGCTGGGAATAGGGCGTATCCTGCTGCCTCAGGCGCACCCGCTCCTTGAGTTCCCATTGAGTTCTCGCGGGATTCAGAGAGTATTTGGGATTTTGCCCAGAACGTGATTTGGGCCCAGAATGTGGATTTCCCCAGAACGTGTGTGTAAGTGCCAGTGACAGTTCGAGAATAAAGAGTTGCTGTTTGAATCTACAAGGTGTGTGGTGGCTCGTGATTTTGTGCCCAGCCAGACTGCGGCATTTGGTGGCCCGTACGGGGAATGTCTGAAACTTGGAGGTAAGTGAAATTACTCGCCCCTGAAGGAGAGCGAAAGAATGGGTGACCATTTCAAAAAACAATGTGTTCTTGTTTTGATTTATTTTGTTTTTATTTCAAGTTGCCTGTTCCTAGAAATTTCTCAGGCAAACTGGGAAAAATGGTTGACTCAAGGTTTGAAGTTGTTTGCCCCTGAGAAAGAGAAATTGTTAGAGGAAGAAGGCACCCCAGTAAGACCAAGAACAGTTAGGACATATGTTGATACAATACAAAATTGTAGCCCATGGCTTTTTTAAAGACGAGTTATTAAGTATATCAATGGGACCATCATGGTATTCTGTAGAAAGATTTTTCTTCAACAAGAAAGAGATGGCTAGTTCTGTTTGCTACACTTGTCTAAGATCTTGGTTTCTACAAAGTTCTGATTAATTTACAAAGCTAAAGTGTTGAAACATCAACCACTCTTTACTTATTAAGTTCCATAAGGTAATATATTTAAACATTATGTGTGTTTTCATAAATTGGTAAATGGAAAAATGTTTAATATTGCTTTGTGTCTGTGTCTTTGCTAAAACAAGGTTACTAAGAGTTAAGATTCTATCATGTGTAATTTATATACAAAGAGTAGAAAAATTTTCAGTTGGGTTTCAATTATAGTATTATAGTGTCATAAAAAACATGAAAGTCTTTCATCTTATTAAAGTGGAGTAATTTGTCTAAATCAGAAATTTTATAAGAGTTGTTTCAAAATGTGAATTTATAAAAAGGGTTAACGGTTAAAAAAAGAGAAAAAGATTCAAGATGTGGAAATATATTTTAATATAAAAGGTTAAAGGAAAAGAAATGTTTCTAGATGAGATAATCTCTGTGTGGTAAAGTAAAAAGTTGTAAAATGCCATTTAAAAAGATTTTGAGGAAACTAGACTTAATTTAAAAGCTTGGGAAAGGAAGAAAGAAGAAAAAGGTATTTGTACATGGCAGATTGAGACAAAGCTTCTCAATGGAGAAAAAAAAAAGCCTTTGGTTGAAGGGCAGCCATGTAAACTAACATTGAAGCGATTTAAACAGAATCTGAGCCTCGTTTAAAAGAGTGAAGTTGTAGGTGGTGAAAAAGTACATTTAAAAGTACAGTATAGATGATAATTAAAAGGCTTTAAAAGGTTAAATTGAAGATGGTCGAGATACCTTCATGGCGGAAAAAAGAAAAAAGAGATATAAAAAGATTCAAGATGTGGAAATATATTTTAATATGGAAGGTTAAAAGAAAAAAAATGTTTCTAGATGAGATAATCTCTGTGTGGTAAAGTAAAAAGTTATAAAATGTCTAAGTAAGTTGCAAAAGGCTTTAAAAGGTTAAATTGAAGGTGGTTAAGATGCCTTCATGACGGAGGAAAGACTGTGTCATTCGAAGCCTAGTTAATCCTAAAAGCATTACTTAAAAAAAAAAAAAACATGAAAATGGGAAGATAATAGGATAAAAGATATTTAGATAAAGAAGGTTAAAAATTTGAAGTGAAAAACTTTAAAGACAGAAGTATAGAAAGTTAAAAAAAGATAAAAAAGATGTAGGAAGATAGAGAAGATGTAGGAAGACAAGAATTTTAAACCCACAAAATAGGAAACAAAAGAAAACTGGGAGGAAAAAAAAGCAACTAAGGGTAAATATACAAACCTTAGAAGAAAACTAAAAGATAGAAACAAGATAAAAAATGGTTAAAAATGTCAAGTAAAGGTATTTCAGATAAAAAATACAAAAAGCTAAGACAACTATTAGATACAGACATGCAAGATAGAAAAAGGTACAAGAGAGAAGTTTACAGTCAAATATTGGATAAAATAGAAGAACAAGGAGATTATTAGTAATTTTTTTTCAAAAAGCCCATCAACTTTAATTTCTGGTGGTGCAGATATTAGAAGACTCAGATGAGGGTGTTAAAATTTATAGACAAGAGCCAATTTAGAAAACATTAAACTAGAAGGAAATTGGTTTAAAACCACATCAAAAAATT